AAAAAAATATTAGAAAAAAATGTCCTCAGGTGAGGATTAATGACAACCACAAAAAAAGATGGGTCAGGCATTTGGGGCCTCAGTGACCCAGACCTGCAGGTAATCCATGTATGTTTAGCTGTGTACCCCACACCCCCTGACACCACCCATTCCACCTTCCCTTAGAGACCCGGGGTTGTGGAAAGGCATAGCCTTAGAGGCAGCAAACCTGGGTTCAGGTTCAGACTCCATCCACTACTTGATAGCTGGGAAACCTTGGGTGATTCACTTAGCTCTCTGACCTGTTTCTCTAGTTGTAAAATGCAGATAATACACCTGCCTCACCCACCTCATGAGGTTGAGTCAAGGATCAAATGACCAGGAAGCACTCTCTTAGGGATATTGTTTGGGTGGGTGTGGCCAGGGTGGTCAGTGTTCTTCAGCCATCAAGTAATGACCTTCATGGCCCTGGGGCTAATCTAAGATGTTTTTGTTTCAAGTAATAATAAATCCGATTCAAACTGGCTAATAGTTGAAAAATCCAGAGGCAGTGTAGGCTGCAGGAGCAGTGTGATCAGGGTTCTAGTCATGTTTCTCTGTCTCTCAGGGAATCCTTGTGTACTAGCTTCTGAGGCTGGCTTCCTCATAGGTAGGAAAATGTTTTTTTAGGAGTCCCAGGCCACACATTCCACCATCCCTAATAGGGATAGCTATTTTTTTTCTTATCATAACATGCCTAGGGCTTCTCTCTTTGGTCTATTTTAGGCCACCTGCTTGGCTCTGAATCAATCACCTAGGCTAGGACAAGCCATGTGGATTGGCTTAGACCTGAGTTATTACCAAACCTTAACAAATTACTGAAGCAAAGAGAGGCAGATTAAAATGATTGGTTTAGGCCAATGAGGGTTCGCCCCTGGAGGTGGGGGCGGGGGGGTCAAATCCATGCAAGCTTTTTGTCTGCCACAGTTGGGGACAGGGTGGGAGTGGGGGTGGGGATGGGAAGGATGCCAACAATGTCCACTACAGGTTTTTATCACAGTAGGAATCCACTGTAGTAGAGAATGGTGGTGGTTATCCTCTCTAACATCCATTCCCCTCTTTTGGCTACAACCCTAACTTGCATTTTGAGCTTCATTTCTTCCCCATTCTTAGAATAGAGTATGTGCTTCTGTTGGAGCGCCACTTCCCACTCATGGGAAAGGCATGTGATCAAGACTTAGGCCAATCAGTGCACTGTAATCTGGCCACTGGATTGCTTCTCTGGCACTTGGCTTGATCAAAGCCAGTGAAACACGATACTGGGAAGGAAGGCTGGGGCTGTGCCCACTGCTCTTGTCTGCTGATCTTGACCCTAAGAGACTGTAAGGTCTGGAGCTATTGCTGCTGCCATTTTACAACCACACAGAAAGAGCTTGAAGTTGGAGCTAATAGAGAGAGATGGAGAGCTGGGGAGAGAGCTAATGAAGTCACTCACAGCCAAGCTAGTTCCTGGACATTTCAGTTTATGATCAACACATTTCCTCTTTGCTTTAAGCCAGTTTGGGTCAAGTTTTTTTAGTTGCAACATCTTATACAATTCTCCCTCCTGTTCAAAGGCAATGAATGCCCTGAGCAGTACATACGGGTGGCTAGGACGTTTGTCAAAACTTTACTATTTGTCATTTGACACTAATATTACATGGAAAGGATCCCAGCCATGCAAGATGCGGAAGAATGCCAAATGAATATGGGTGAGATTTAGTCTAGATCAGGGGTAGGCAAACTACAGCCCACAGGCCAAATCTGGCCCACCACCTGTTTTCATAAAGTTTTATTGGAACACAGCCACACTTTGTTCATGGCTTTTTAATATTCCAGTGGCACAGCAGAGTTGAGTAGTTGCCTGCAAAGCCTTAGATATTCAGTATTTGGCCCTTTACAGAAGAAGTTTGTTGCGTCTCGGGATAGACGGTGAAAGAATAAAATATTAGCAAAGTACTTCTCCCCAGATGAATACCTGTATCCCCAGATGGAAGCAACACTGAGTGGCCCTCCATCATAGGCCTTTGTATCCCATTAATATCAGCTTCAGTTATCAGCATTAGGAAAGCAAACTTTCATAGAACTGAACTTATCCCAGACAGTGAATGAGAGACTTTCTATGTCTTTAAGATTTGGTTTATGCAGTGCCTGTATCTTACTAGCCCCGGTCACAGTGTCTCAGAAACCTACAGGCATAAGAACATTCTTTTCCCACCCAGGGCCATTAGCCTCGCTCTGAGTTGGGAAGCTAAAGCTACTGGTGAAGTCCAGTGGTAGCCCAGTGACCCACTTCCATAAGGAGGTGGGATCAATGTAAACATGGTGGGAATAAGAGAGCTGTTCTTAAATTTTCATAAACTGAAGCATTGTTATCTGTACATCTGACATGTGAAGCTGATGGATTCTATTTTTACCAACAATATAGTTCACCTGGGGCAATTGGGAAGCTCCATTTTCCATTCCCAACTATCAGTTTCCTGCCAGGAGTGCAGCATGGACAGTTGATATTGGTGAAATAGCCAAGGTCACTTGAGTAACCACCCCCTTGGGTTTTCTAAACTGAATCTCTGTTAAGTTAAATCACCAGGAAGCAACATAGCAATATCTAAAGCTAGCTCTTGGTGGAGGGCCATCATGGAACAGGTATTTAATATGGCCTCTGCTTTTGTGTGAGGTCTTCCTGAGAAGTGGCTTCCTCAAGAATACTGCAGTGTCCACAGTGCAGTGGCCAGAATCCAACTCATGGCTTCTAATTTAGAAATGATGCCATGAAGAGCAGGCAGTTTAGGAATACTGTTAATTGGTCCTGTATTATTGTTATCTTAGTGGAGTTTAGACTGGCTTATCTATAAGGCTCTCTTTCTGCTCCCAGTAGGGTCTGGCAGGCTTCCTGACTTACACAGCACTCAACATGGGTCTGAGATGGATCCAAGGGGGTAGTTGGGGCTCATCTGGATATAGAGATCTGTAATAGTTTTATATTTCTATGTTGATGGGGGACATATTTATTTGGGGTAGCCTACCTTGAGTAAGTGCCTTCTACTTAAGGATCCACGTGATAAATCTGGGAATTTACCTCAAGGACCTACTTTGAATGCTGTTCAAGTCAGGAAACCCTCCAGACTCAACTGGGAGCAGAAAGGAAGTCTTGTGGATAGGCCAGTAAGATAAGAATACTAGTAAATGGCCCTCTCTTCTCTACTTGGCCAAACATATCCACCCTTTGGGACCCAGCTCAAATCCTCCCCCCTTAGTATAAAGCCAGCTCAAATTGAGCAATCCCTTTGGTCTCTTCACCACACCAATTACTACTGCAATTAATCTCAGAATACCTTGGGGCTGTTGATTGTAAACAAAAAGCCAGATATTTCTCCAGCAAAATGGGTTTATTCTGGAACAAGAAGGAATTGCAGTCCTGTGCACACGACCAAGGGGAGCACCTGCTCGTCAAGTTGACTAAAACAAAGAAGAGGAAGCTCTTTTATAGAGGGGAAAGGGCTGCTAGTTTCCCCCTTGCACTTTGTGCTCCACGTAGGGCATGAGAGCTCCCTCTTCTGGTCACTCCACTTTAAATGAGGTTTCTGTTTATTAATTTTTATTAAGTTTTTACAAGGCTACTGATATAACGCATAGACAGCACTTAGGAGTGGAATTGTAGAATTCCACCAAGGTTTGGCAATTTTGTTGTAGCAATGGGGGTGATGGCATTTCAGTGCGTTGCTCTGTAGCCCAAACCTTTTCTTGCACGGCAGGAATTACATTCCAGCATGTGGATCTGGTTTATGCTCTACCTCGGAGGACACCCTCTTCTCATCCATCAAGGAGGGTCAGGCCACAGGGCACCCACCTTCGTGGTCTCCCTTGGGAAAGAGTCTCTCACCAGGTAAGGACGAAAGCTGGGTGACCAGGGATTCTCACCTGTCCCTCTGACAGCTCCCCTGCCTCTGGCCAGGACATGCGCGCACCACTCATCGCGGAGTGCCCGCTTTAGGACGCAGGAGCACAGTCCCTGCTTATAGCAAGGTCAAGGAAGCAGACACCCAGACAGACATGAAACGTAGTGTGCAGAGTCTGGGACAAAAGTAAACTGAACTGCTCCAGGGAACTTGGAAAACGTAGCCTTTCCCACTCCTTGTCAGGCCCACTGTGTCCTCAGCTGGAGAAGGTACTTGAGGGCGGAACCCAAGTCAGGCCTCTCTGTGATCACTAGAGCACGTGGCGTGGACTCTCGCTAACGGGGAGACTGGCGCTTGCCAACAACCTTCAATAACCTAACAGTGGACATTCTGAAGGAATTTTCTTGGTCCCAGTCACAAATGAGAGACATCATAGAAAATGTTATTCTTTTATTATTTCAAGGAGGTAATACATAGTCCAATACGCCAAAGCAATAGGGAATTAGAGGCAGCAAATGGCCAGAGTTTTTGAGAAGCGCCTCGTGCCCCATCTCTGAGCTCTCGGCTGCCCACAGCCCATGGCGCCTACAGGAAAGCCTGGTCAGCAACATGGAGCTTGCTGTGACTGCAGCAGTGGACATATGACCCAGATCAACACCCGACTGACCTAGAAAGTGTTCCGTGTGAGCGGCAGGGGCTGAACACACCGGTCAGCTCTCAGCCCTGCCACAGCCAGGTTCATGTGGCTACTGCCTCAAGCAGCCAGCTCGTCTAGCACTTGGTTTTATTTCTCTGAGCCTGGAGTGGGCAGGATGTGAAGAAATCCTGAGTCAGAAATTAAGGTGAAAGACTTAGTAGTGTTAATATTCTGGGCGAGAGAAGACAACACTTTGAGGAGGGTGGGCTGGGACTCTGGTGGAAGGAAGATGGAAACACGCAGAATGGCCATGGACTGCAGGCGCCTCCTTGAGGCCGTCAGAGGGGTTTTTCACGGTACATGATGGGCTGGGGTGAGGGCGTGGGCCCTGGGGCTGCTTTCTCTGGCACAGAGTTAAATTAGAGGTTCATTTTCCACTCATAATTGGTTTCCCACACTGGGGCTGAAGCAAATCCGCCCCTGTACCAAGCGTGGCCTTTGAGAAATGTGTGGCTCAGTTCTCCAGTGTGCAGGAGGAGGGACCCCGCTTTCTTCCATTGCAAATGACCAGGGAGGGAGGAGAGAGCCTTGGGCACCTCCTAGTGAAGCCCCACCATGGTTTGTTTTTCTGGAAAATTCATTTTGGTGGGACCCAAAGCCCCTCCCTTGTCACAGAGCAGATTTATTCACCCATAGGAGGGCACCTTCCTGGTGACTTCATGGTGGCGTGCAAGTGGGAGTCGCAGCAGTAGATGCTGTAATACTCAAGGACGTCATTCATTTCAATAGGAATGTCCGGGCTGGAGAGCTGGCGGGGAGGGGCTGCTTCTTCCCAGCATGCACTGCTCCCCAACCAACTCTGGCCAGGCCCCAAATTGGTTTAGATGCCGCACGTGCTGATACATTTTTGGTTTGTCAGGAGTGGAAAGAATTTTTTTAAAACCATGCCACTGTGTTCTCCAAACCCAGAGCCATTGGTTTTGTTCTGTTTGATAAGAAAGGGCAATGGCAGCTCCAGAGTGGCCAAGGCTGTGCAGCACAGAGTGCAGTGTTATCAGAACTAGAAACCTTGGTCTGAACGGACAGACACTGAGCTGCGGTGAACACAGACACTCGGACGCTACGTCCTCTAGTCAGTGGAAGACTCTGCTGTTGCCTCCTCCTCATGCTCCTCAAAGCCTGGGACTGGCTTCTGCAGAAAGTGCATGGTGGCCTGGATCACCTTGTCCGGTCCAATGTTGTACACGGGGTGAGTGGGCTGCTGCAAAGAGAACAGATGCCAATTAATCTCCAACAGTTCTTGGACATTTGACCTGTTAAATGCACTTGTAAGAATTTAGCATATGGCCCTGGCTGGTGTGGCTCAGTTGGTTGGGCATCACCCCATGCACCGAAAGGTCACTGGTTCAATTCCCAGTCAGGGCACATGCCCAAGTTGGAGGGCTTGGTCCCCACTCCTGGTGCATGCAGGAGGCAGCTGATTGATGTTTCTCTCTCACATCCATGTTTCTCTCTCTCTCACCCTCTCTTCCTCTCCCTCTCTCTCGAAGCCAATAAAAAAACATATTAAAAAAAATTTTTTTTAAAGAATATAGCATAAGAAAAAAAAAAAAGAATATAGCATAAGGAATCATCAGAGATGCACACACATTTATCACACAAGGCCCATGTTCAACAACAGGGTTTTGGTAAAAACATTTCATGGTACATGGGACACAAAGGAATATTATATAGCCAGTAAGAAACATGCTTTCAAATATTTAATGCTATGGGCAAATGCTTATAACATATTAAGTGTGGGGGGGAATAATATGCACAATATTATTCCAAACTTATTTTTTAAAAATTTGTTTGTAATTCTGAGTTAGTTATAGTGTGTGCAATTCAGGGTAAGGAACTTTTAGGTACACCACTTGGAAAAATGCCATTTTTCTGAAAAATGTTTACCAGTCTTTTATGTTTATATTTTAATTTAAAATATGCAGTTAAAAAATAAACGTATGTAAAAATAAAAATGTGTTTATAGATGTGATGTTTATAGATAGGCAAAAATTGGACATGAAACAAAATAGGAAGAGGGATATAGTGATATAGTTGTTTTTAACTTTCTTATTTAAACTTTTATATATATTTTAATTATTAAAATAATGAACATGTATTTACATTTATAATAAAGAAAAATAACCACAACCCTATTCCGCAGTAAAGGTGTGAGGCCATATTTAAATTCCTTTGTATTATTCCGCTACATCACAGAGACCCAGAGGAAACTAGATCTGGGACAGAGCACAAGCCTAGGCCAGCACTCAGGACTCTTTTCCACCCTGAGAGAATGAAGAAAGGGACATCACTGCAGGAGAGACTTTAAAATTTTTAAGAGAATACTATGAGCAAGTTCATGCCAGACATATAAAACTTCAGATAAACTGAATGACTTTACAGAATATAAATTTTCAAAACTGACTCAAGAAGAATTTCTTTAAAACCTATATAAATAAATTAAATCAATAATAACAATTGCTTATTCTGCTACCATCATTCCCCACCCCACCCCCAAAAACACCAGGCTAGATGGTTTCTCAGGCAAGTGTTATCAAACCTACAAGAAACAGATAGTCTCTAACCTACACAAACTTTTTCAAAGACTGAAGAGAAGGGGTGAGGGGAGATACCCATCTAATTTTATAAGGCTATAATATCCTGAAACAAACTGGAAAAGCACAATGAAACAAAAATTTAGGTCAATTTCATTAACATACATACATGAAAAAATCCTAAATAAAAATACTAGCCAAAAACATTAGCAAACTGAATCCAGCGGTGTATTAAAAAACATATACACACATTCACATGACTATGACCAAGAAGGGCTTATCCCGAGAATGTATGGTTAATATGAGAATCTTCATTAATTAAACATACTATAATAGATTACAGGAGGAAAAAACAGATGCAGAAAGCAAAAGTTTAAAATGTCTAGAAGGAAATATATTTATGACCTCAGCATAGGAAAACATGTCTTAGTTAACTACCCACCCCCACACACAAAAAACCCTCAAAAACCAAAAAGGCAAATAAAATTTTTCCCTTTAAAATTAAAATCTTCTATTCAACAAAAAACACTAAAAAACAAAGTGAAAAGACAAGTCACAAACTGGAAGAGATTCACCACACACACACCACTGACAAAGGATCAGTATCAAGGACATACAGAGGGCTCCCACAAATACATAAGAGAAAACCTTACACAAAAGGACATAACATTTGGAAAGATGCTCAAACTCGCTGGTGGCCAGGGAAATGCAAAGCAAAACTGATACCATTTCACATCTATCAAACTGGCGGAAAGGAAACGTCTGACTGTGGAGCAGCTCCGTGCTCGGTGAGTGTAAAACAGCACAGCCACTGGGGGAGGCTCAGTGCCACCTAGGAAGGTGGCGGTGTGGGTCTTCTGCATCCCAGCAAGCCCCTCCTAGAGAAATTCTAACATCACAACGTTCACTGCAACACTGTCACAGCAAAAACTGAAACCAGCTCAATGTCAACTGACAGGAGACTAGAAAAATAAGTTGGGATACATGTATACAAGGGAAGACCATACAAGTTAAAATGAACAGACTAGAGCAACACATATGAACACAGATAAACCTCAACAGTATAACGACCAGTGAGAAAAGCAATGCAGAGGAGGTGGCACAGTAGATACTGTTATAAAAGTTTGAAAACATACAAGACAACTCTATTGTTAATGAATCATGCATTTGAAATAATAGCACAAAAACATCTGCAGGCAAGATAAATGTCAAATTTAGGACAGGGTTACGCCAGGAAGGAGGGAAGAAGAATAGAAGAGGGGTGCATGGGAGGAAAATGTGGAAAAATGTTAAGACTTGAAAAAGCTGGTGGCTGTTACTCTGATTTTCATCCATCTACTGGCCATTTGTGCTTCTGTGGAAAATATTTCATGACAATCTGCATGGGCCCCATTATCTGATGGCTGTGGACAGTCTTAGTTGGACTCGTGTCCCAGGCTCAGGAGCATCTCCTGCAGCCAGGCTGCTCCAGGGCTGGATGAATGTCCTGCCTGCATGAGGCTGATAGTTTTTGAGGACAGGAGACAAAAACAAGTTAAACAAATTGTGTTGAGTACTATGAGGGGCACAAACAAGGCACCGTGGCAGAGCATTTTGGGCGATCTCATTTACGAAGGGTGGGCTGAGAAGGCTTCTCTGGAGAGATGGCACGCAAGCTGAGAGCTCCGGAAACACAGCCAGCCACACAGTGAGCGCTGCGAGGCTGCCAGGGCAGAAACCCACTGCCTCTGAGAAGCTCCTTGGAGAGGAAACTAGTGATAAATGGTCCAGGCCCTAGACTCTGAGATAAAGGCACAAAACCTGTCACAGATTGGGACCCCCACCAAGGACCTTGCTTTTGCCTCCAGGCATGTTTCCTCCACAGTCACATCCTCACAAATGGGCTGTAAACCGAGGGAGGGTGGTGACGCCAGCCCACCAGCCTGTCCACACAGGAGATACAGGGCCAGTCGTGCAGATCTGGCTCTTTCCTGGGGACCCTGTGGAGAAGGGGTGTTAGGTGCCCATATCTGCCTTACCAGAGCATTTTCAGGCACACCCAGGACCACATCGTGCAGCATGGCTCCACTCCCGAAGTGCTGGGCTATTGACAGGCCGCTCAGGCAATAGCAGGTGTGGTAGAAGTCCCGAGACCTGCAGGACAGGGCAGCTCTGAGCAGGTGCTCCTCTGCTCCCCATGGCCTCCCCACCCCCAGCACCTTCAACAACAAAGCGACCACACAGACTCAAGAGGCCACACACTCACAGTGCCGCCCTGCCCTCCCCACACAGACCCAGGGCACCCGGTTTTCCCCAGCTGCATTTTCAAAGCCCCATCCTTCAGCACTGCCAGATGGCAGACACTGTCATTTTAGAGTCAGTCCCTCCAGCTGTCTTCCAGAAAGGACTCTCTTGGGTAGTGCTAGTGCTAAATTAATATATTTTTCTAAAAAACAAAAACAAACAAAAAAACCCCACCAAAATGTCTAGAAGTGGGCCAAATTCTTTCTGATAAATTGCTGGGGACTGGCCTTCAGCTGGGCCTTCTCCCCTGGATGCTGACAGCAGCAGGGGCGTGTGCATTGCACGTGTGCACGTGTGCACGTGTGCGTGTGTGTGTACGTGTGCCCGCATGGTGGGTGAGAAGCAAAGGGAACAGAACTTATTTGATTTCCCTTTTTCTTTTCTTTGGCACCTGAAGGTATTTAAGCTATTCCGTAATGGTTGTGATTATAGTCTCTGTTTACAGTACTCAAGGGTTTTAAAATCCTGGATCCTGTTCTATTTTAATCAGTTTGGTTAAAAGAAAAAAGAGGAAAAACGACCAACCCAGCAATCTGCCTGCCTGGAGAAGGGGTGCATGTAAGCTGGGGGAAAGGATGGGCACTGGAGCTGCCAGGATTGATGGCACTCAATGGGGGCACTCCAGAATTGGGGTGCTTCTCCCCACGCCACACTGGCAGTAAGCAACAGGATGGAAAGGAACACCCTCCTTTCAAAGGTGGGCACCAGCCCCGAGTCACACCCTCGGTCCCCTCTCCATCTCCCTCCCGGGGGGAAGGCACTCACTTGCCAGGCTTGTCCAGAAGGCCCCCTGCGGGGCACTGGCAGCACATGAGGATGTACTCCTGCAGCGCCTGCTGGTGGAACATCCAGTGGCTCATGCTGAGGGCAGGGTCTCCTGCAGAAAGGCAAAGAGTCAGTGCAGGCCCAGGCCAGCAGAAGTCCAGCACAGCGCCCATGACTTCTTTGTATTTTATCACCCAATGGGAACAGTCAAGGTTTCCCTCGATTCTTCTTAGACAACTGTTGAAAGTTACAATCTTGAGACAGTTGATATCTTTACCCAAGTCCCATGACATGTCCCTTCTCCTGAACCTTGATGTGAATCAAAGAGCACCAGTGCAGAGTGGCTTCTGCTTTGCTTGCAGTGCAGCCGTTACCTAAGATGACCGTCTTCAGCCACATCTGTGGCAGCCATGGTCGAGCTTGGCTTTCCAGACTGACCTCTCTTACTGCTCCTGACTTGGTCCTCAACGCCTCAGTCTGGGCTTCTAAGACATTCCCTCTAGCTCATCTCTGAAACCTGTTAACCGGACTCTAAATAGCTAAGAGAACTCTTAACAGGAGTGATCATGTCTGTTTATTCTACTTTTCTAAGCCTGAATTTAATCTATCTCTAAAGGAAATTCTCCAACTTTTCTCTTTGCTGAAAAATGTTCCTGAGAAGCACTGCCAGGAACTGCCCTCCTGCATCATGTGATATGGTAGCCCAAGTAGAAATTGGCAGTTCTGGCAATAATCCTGAAGGACTGTCAAGCAACTGGGCTTCTTTACTCTGAAGTTCGAGCAGTATCATCAGAGAATTCCGGGGGTCACATGGTTATCAAGTGGCCCCCAAGTGGGGAAGAGGGATGAATCACTGAGAGACAGATGTGCACAGACATTTACATTGGAATTGATTTTCAAAAATACACATATAGGCCCTGGCCAGTGTGGCTCAGTTGGCTGGGCATCGTCCCGTGCACCAAAAGGTTGCCTATTTGATTCCTGGTCAGGGCACGTGCCCAAGTTGTGGGCTTGATCCCCAGTGGGGTGTGTGCAGAGGCAGTGGATTGACGTTTCTCTCTCTCCCCCTTTCCCTTCTTCTATCTCTAAAAATCAATAAAAACATCTTTTAAAAAAATACACGTATAGGATGTGCATTAAGTCCTTGGTCTGTTTGATAATTTGATACCTGGGCTACAAAGACAGCAAACAATCTGTAAATAGCAATTGAAAGCTGTATTTTCTTTCTTTCAGTCTTTTTGTATGTTTCCAAGCAATTTTCTATATAGTTATTATACTTTTGTATCTTAAGTTTTTCATTTAACACCATAGATGTAAACGTTCCTGTTCTGCTACATAACCTTCATAACCAACATTCTGAAGAGCCACATAGTATTTCATTAAGTGAATGTGCAAGGTAACTGCATTAATATAGGCAATGGGCCAAAACTCTCCTATATATGAGTATAGAATCTTCTATGGTAAAAATTTGTCATTGTTTACAAAGTGCAGTATATAAAGAGAATATGTAAGCAAAGTATTTAATTGTGGGGTATTTACATATGTAGAATATACAGAAAAAAATAGTTTTCAAATTTCTTAAATGAGAGAGGAGGAGATGGGGGCAGTTGGAAAGTGATTGCTATTTACTGGTTTGAACACTAGATGTGGCGCAATGGACACTTGGGGGTCATGTACAGAAACCACCCATCTTCAACACCGAGTCACGCTCGCTCTAGAAGAGGCGCACAGGGGCCAAGCCCAGGGAAGGAGCCGCTCTCAGGTCCCCGCTCTCCGGCTCACGCCACGAGGCACGTGCTCACTGCGGCACTCACACTGTTATAATCACTCCACTCTTTCTTCTTTCCCCACCGTGAGCACAGTCGGGGGCGTGCAGGAGGCAGCCGATCAATGACTCTCATCATTGATGTTTCTCTCTCTCTCTCCCTCTCCCTTCCTTTCTCTGAAATCAATAAAGATATATTAAAAAAAAAAAAAAGAAATGAGCCCTTTGTCATGTGTCACAAATATTTTTCCCTCCTTGCTTTGTTTTGTTTATATAATTTCCCTTCTCTTGTAAAAGAATTTTTGTTGTTTTTCTTTATATAAGAAGTGCATAGTAATTATAGAAAAACTAGAAAATACAAAGTAAAAAGAAAGAAAACAAACATCGCCCATCATTTCACAACCCAGATATCTTCTATTAATTTTTTGGAGTCAGCTCTTCACTAAAACTGGAATTATGTACATTCTGCTTTGAAACCTAACTTTGAGCACAGTATATTCTAAATATCTTTCTACATTACATCTCCTTTTGACTCCCAATGTCACTATTTTGTCCACTGTTCAAAACATGTCCCTTTTGGCCCTGGCCAGGTAGCTCAGTCATCCCAATACGCCAAGGTTGCAGGTTCGATCTCCAGTCAGGGCACATACAAGGAATAACCAATAAATGCATAAATAAGTGGAACAACAAATTGATGTTTCTCTCTCTAAAAAAATCAATCAATAAATTAAAAACAACAACAAAAAACATGTCCCTTCTTCCCAGACCCTGCCTGGTCCAAGTCCCCAGTTTCTGAGGAACCACCGGCCGAGTGTCAAGCCTAGCTCGGGCCTTCTCCCAGGCAGTGAAAAAAGCTGGAAGCACCAGTTCACAGGCAGCCTTTCCACAGGCAAAGCTTTGAATGTGACTAGTCCTCCAGAACTTGTGCTACAATAAACAAAATGTCAACCAGGGCCCCCCTTGAAGACTTTGGCAGGAGGTGCTCCGGTTACAGCTCTGTCTCTGAGTTTTCCTGGCAACGGCAGGACGACTGCATCCTACCCCTGCCAGGGAAAGGTCTGTGAAAGGCTGACGGTTTTACCAGGGGCCCAATCTCACCAGTTCCAATAAAAAGATCACTAAAACCCCATGTTATTTCTGCTTCAAAAACGCTGGACCCTGGGGGAAATCCTGACTCCCCCACTACAGTGGTCAAGCCAGAGGCCATGCAGGCTCCAGAATCAGGAGACTGAATGCCCAGGGGCCCAGGCCAAGGACTCTCAGGACAGACTGAGACAGAGCAAATGGGAGGACAGGACAGAGGCTCTGTTTACTTCAATTCAGTCTCAAAAGTAGCCACAACTCAAATTAAATTAAGAAACTAAAGAAAGGGGCTCAGAAAGAACAGCCAAACAAGGAGAGAAGTGTGTGTGTGTGCGTGCGTGTGTGTTAGGGGTGGGGGTGGGCAGTGGAAAAGAATCTCATCTTCTACAGTTGAGCAATTGATCGCCCAACTACAAAATCCAAAGAAAAGCTTTCCCCTGGGCCAAGGGATCTCACTCCAAGAACAGATCAGCACCCAGCAGAGCAGCCATGCCTCCCTCTCCCACTGCTTCCTCAGGGACATCCTGTTCTCACACAAAATAAATGGGAAAGATAATTCAGGAGTCAGCAGATGGCCCGAGATTTTAAGAGGTCAGAAGGGAAGGCTCCCAGACGCTTTGCTTGCTGTCTAACTGCTTTGGCTTTGCACTCCCATTGGAGACACCACAGAGAAGAACACGGTCTCTCCACTCTGGTAGTACAGGTGCAACAAACCTGCATTTCGGATTCTCCAACATTTAAAAATACAACATTTCTGAGGGTGGCAATTACATAACCAGACAGACACGGGGCATCTTTTCTCGGTGGGTTCCGCTTCTCTGCCCCTTTACGCAGCTGCCTTGTCAGTCACTGCTGTGACCATGTGCCCAGCGTGGGTTTTCGGTTCTGATATGACCAATACAGAGCACTGCACTGGAAACTGTGGCTTCACACCCAGCTGAGGTGACAGTTCGCCGTGGGGCCCAGGACAGGCACCCTCCTCCTTCTAGCCACAGCCAGTCTGAAGCAGCCATGACCCCTAAACCATTGGAACAAATTCCTACCTGAGCCTGCATGTGCATGCCCAAGACGAGGTTTCACACTGGGAACTCAAATCCAGGACAGACAGAGCTAGTTCAACCCCTCTGGAAATGCACTCTGGCTCTCTGACTTGGTCAGCAGCCCAGGGGAATCCTGTAGCCCCGCCCACAGCTCGGGCTCACCTTGAGCGTGCAGCGCCCGGTGCAGGAGGGGCAGCAGCCCGGCCTGCCAGAAGGAGTAGCAGCCATCCACCAGCTTGTTGCAGCGGCCCTGAAATCCACCTTCAAACCGCATCTGCCGGCCTGTCACCCATTGCTGGGAATGAGACGAAAAGGGAGAAGCAGTTGTCGGCTAAAAGAGACACAAAGTCCAGCAAGATATGCTCTCCAGAGGCCAGTCTGGGGAGGGAGGGCTCCCGCCTCCCGGCTGCCTGGTGTTCACAGTTCTGGTGCTTTGGCTTCTTACCTCTTTCCGCTCAGACCTCAGGCCTTGAGTGGAGCGGTTAAGCCGACCCGTTCAAGGCAAGCAGGACTGATCTCTGTTCAGAGCCTGACACAATTAACCACCTTTTCCCGGGTTCCAAATGGGTTCCGGTGCTGAGAGAAGAGAGGCCAAGCTGGCTTGTAAGAAGGCCTGCAAATGTCTCTTAATAAACAGGGCGTCACTAGGAAATTTAAGGCAAGACCACCAGGAGCTCATTTCTAATCACTTTCCCTGCTCAGGGAAGTTTATTAAAAGCAGGTGAATGGAATTTTATGCCACATCTCATCAGATTTTCTCAAACTATTCCTGACTTTTACTTGGCTCCTGAGGAAACGCATCCCAGGTCTCTAAGCAAGCCACTCGCAGGACAGAATGCAGGAGCCAGTAGTCCCATGACTGGTGATGGCTCTCGGGTCTAGCCTCTCCAGGGAACCCGGTTGACTGACAGAAGGAAATCTTTTACTTGGGACCTGCAAAATGGCTCTTGATGTTCACTTAGTGGTCACATGCTATTACCATTCCTCCCTTATCTCCATGTTTCCTAAACACACTCTACAACTAAGATCAAGATAGTCACGGGTTGGGCCCCTACAAACCAACTGGCTGAGCAGATAATATTTCCATTTCCCTCCCAGCCCGGCAAGGCATAGCAGCCACCAGCCACGGACTTCAGAGCTGCCTGGTACACAGCAGGGTATTTCCCCTGTACCTAGATTCTCACTAGACCGAGTTCCTGAAAGTAGCTACAAAGGGGGAAGGGGAAGTATGGGGCTGGGTCCCAGTCCTCCTTAAAGTTAATCGTTGTAGAATTTAGATGATATTCCTGTTTAAGGCAACACCCACCTAGAGAGTCAAAATCCCAAATACTTAAATGAAAGACACACACACAAAAATTGCACTGCAGATGTAGGCACTGGTATATCCCCAGTCAGTCTTAAATGAAACAGTGCTTTAGGGACGATGCCATTTGGTGAAAGTGAGCTACACATTACTCAAGAAAAGAGATAACAGACACCGTCGCAGGAAGCCCATTTTTCATTTCACTTACCCCACAGATTGTTTTTAAGCCAGGCTAATTAATTTTTCCCAGTGCCTAAGCCCAGGGGTTCATCCTATTGACTATATAAAATCCATCGGATATGGGCCCTAGTTCTCCCAAAGTAAATGGAGTAATTTGGGTAAGAAGGACATTAACATTTATTGAGCACCTCCCATGTGCCAGGCTGTTTATATATGTTCTCTCCTTTAACTTTCAAGGAACTATTATCTCTACCTTATGGGGGGGGGGGCAG